CTTAACCTGAGAGGGGAAAATCCAGCTTCCCTTCAATTGTTCCCCCTCAAGGAAAGGAAACAGTTTTGCTGGGAGAAGGGCAGGAGCCAGGGAGATATGACAAAGAAGCTGTTTAAAAAGAACGTGGAAGTATTTACTCTAGACCCTGTGAAAAATGCTGATGGAAAGCATTGGACAGGGCTCCTCCGTCCTTCTGTGATAAATTATGTTTTCCCTTACTTCCATTATTTTTAGTCAAGTTTAAAATATTCCAAATGACAGAGATACCCAAGCTCCCTTTTGGAGGCCTTATCCTACGGTGTAAATAACTACTTTTATTCTTTCCATTCAGCTGCCCTCCCACTCCCTGCACCTGCACATGCACACCCATACCCCAGGCATGACACCCATTATCCTCCTGCAAATCCTTATTTGTTCCTTTGCTGCAAAGCCTGGAACCTATCAGGAAGTAGCAGGGAGCAGTAGTTCTGACCAACGCTCTCTTACTGGGTTTGTCAGTTGCAGATGGGACTGCCTCATGTACAAACTCATGACAAGTAGACATAATTCGCCCACCCTGGGCACCCGCAACAGGCAGGACAGACTTCATTGTGGCTTATATGATCCAGCGCGGTACTCTGGCTGCACTTGGCAGCCAGTTTGCAGGAAGTCCAAGCTGCCACAGCTTTATCACTATTGGTGCCCAGAATGAATACGCAAACACCACACTGGGCATGTCTACATGTTCTGCCATCACAACTCTAACCACGATATCAATGGACCAATTGTCCGTTGTTTGCATGGCCCACAGCTGTCTACTGTAGACACTTTTCGTTTGCTTGCCCTACCTCTTACATTGTAATCTCCAAAAGGCAAGGACTTTCTCTATTATATGTTAGTACAATGTCCAAAAGTGGGACCCTACCCTGTGATTGACATAATGAGGTGTGATAGCACCAAGTTAAGTCAAAGTTTTTCTAGCATATTACATTAGGAGATTAAATTCTCCAGTCCCTTTCCTCTCAGCCTTATCCCAGTTTATCTGGCACTGATTATCCTTCAGTCAATATTTGAATTCATATCTGGTTGATCACTTCATGAGTTGTCTTGGGACACACATGACAAGCATGACTTACTAAAGACTGAATACATTAAGCCTACTGATTCCTCTTTATCAGCTATGAACAAGTCTTGCTGCTCTATCTGTGTAAATTAGCACAGAGATCTCATAGAGATGACTAAGTTAAGATACCAGTGTCCTCTATGAGGATATGATTGCAGGACATAACGTTATGAGCTTATAAAGAAAACTTTTAGTTTGACTCAAAAGCTCTGTCTCATCAAAAAAAAAGGATCTTAAAAGAAGAAGTCTGAAGTGGAAATGTTTACATGTGCACGTCATGCAATAAAGGGCTAGAGAACAAACTGTTCCAGAAAAAAAATGAACTTTGGAAAATAGTTACTACATCTCCTTCCTGAACACATAATCGCAATTTATCTGATTGCTTAAAAATATTTTAACAATATTTGTTTACTTTTATGCTCAGGAGCATAGAGGACTTGAAAACATGGCATGTGGACACCAATAAGCTAAAGTACAAATAAAAACACTTTGTATGGGATCTCGTGAGATAACATGTATCATGAGTGGAATTACAGTGATACAAGAAGACATACTGTTAGATATAGCAGCATGTTAGCTCACAGGGACAATCCAGTTACAAAATAACACTCTGATGCGGGACAAAATTATCTGTGCAAGACTGACTGACCAACTCTATGACTTACACCCGTGTTTCTATGCACAATTGGAGGCGCACGCTATCCAGAACGAACAGTGGAGTCTGACTCTTATCTCCAAAGATCCTGTTGCTCTATAAATTTATGACACTACAAAGAAATTCCATAAGCTGACAGCAGAGATACAGTGCAAATATTTCATACTTTTCATTTGGATTCCACACACCGTATGCATAGTAGAAATGGTCAAAGAAAACTGCAGCCAAGTGACTGAATTCCTTTTCACAGAATTCACAGCTGATCCAGCTATTCAGGTCATGCTCTTTATGCTGTTCCTTGGGATCTATCTCACTACAATGGTAGGAAACCTTGGCATCATTTTCTTAATCAGGGCTGACTACCAACTTCACACCCCCATGTATTATTTCCTTGGTAATTTAGCTTTTGTAGATATTTGTTATTCCACTCTCATCACTCCCAAATTGATGGCTGATTTGATAACAAAAAGGAAAGCCATTTCTTATGCTGGGTGTGCAGTCCAGGTCTTTACTTTGTGTCTCTTTGGAGTTACAGAGTGCATCCTCCTGGCTACAATGGCTTATGACCGGTATGTGGCCATTTGTACTCCGCTAGTGTATTCCGTTATCATGTCCCCAAGACTCTGTGTCCAGCTGGTCATTGGGTCATTCTTAGCTGGGTGGGTAAATGCAGTAACACAAACAGCAGGCATGTTACAGTTAACCTTCTGTGGCTCCAATGTCATTGATCTGTTCTTCTGTGACATCTCTCCATTGTTATCACTTTCCAACTCTGACACAACTATCAATCATATAGTCATACTAGTTGTAACCGTTGTATTTGGGGTGTTCAGTATCCTGATTGTCCTCATCTCCTACATTTTCATCCTCTCTACCATCTTGAGGATCCACTCTACTAAGGGTAAATGCAAAGCCTTCAGCACCTGTGCCTCTCATTTTATGGCTGTGAGTGTTTTCTATGGGACCTGTCTCTGCATTTATTTAAAATCCAACTCAAACAATTCTCAGGCAAAGGACAAAGTGCTCTCAGTGTTCTACACAGTGGTGACCCCCATGCTGAATCCCCTGATCTACAGCCTGAGGAACAAGGAGGTGAAGGATGCCCTCAGAAAAGTCATAAATAAAAAATGTTACTTTTAAGTCTGAGTGCATGTCCAAATCCAAATGATAGCCATCCCTGATAAGGAGCACCTGACCAGTGCCTTGTTTCAAGTCTTCTAAGGCAGGTTGGAAGGATTTGTTGAGACACTCCTCCAGTGGCACTGACCAAGATTTTCTGCATCTTCCTCCCAAACAATCTTTTGGAAAGACGTGACATTGGGTAGGAGAAAAATATTAAACTATTTGTACAGATCTTTGGTTTCAGACTTTAACATCCAATCTTTAGGTTCCCCAGGTGACGTGTAATATAGGCAATGATAATCTAGTCAGTCAGCCATGGAGATTTAAGGTTCCATGCTGCTATGCATTGATATTAGTTAGGAAAGGATTGCTGAACTAAAGATGAAAACTATTTTTCCCCGACTCTGCTCCCTTGTGTCACCCTCCCCCCACACCAGAAAATCTCCCCAGGCTTGGACTTTTTTCAATTATTGATGTCTTGATTATTATACCTTAGTGCCCAGAGAATGTTGTTTGCAACTGGTTCTACTATATACAGTGCTCCTTTTCTTGATCTGGAGGGAGATACTTAGGCAAATCCCAAGTTTCTGTAGCATCTATTGCTATAGCATCTGATTGTAGCTATGTGAATGAACTCTTTTCTGTTGTAGGTGGTTGTGTTCTTCAAAAACTGTCAAAGAAACGTATAGAAATAAAAATTACTCTTGACTTCTCACATCATAGTTTTTCTATTTTGGCCTTTGTTTTCCTGGTGGTGTTTTTTCTATATATACACTCATCTTGTATGTGTCCACTCACCTGCTTCCTTCTACATGTTAAAAAAAATGCATCAAGTTTAAGGCAGAATGATTCACTGGACCATCAAATCTGCCCTCCAGATAACTGGACCCATTCCCATGTGTCCACCTCCTCTGCAATATATGTAAAACAGAACAGAATCCCAGGATCAGCCCAGACAGGGTCAGAAGGCCAAGAGCGAACTCTGACGACTGAAACTGGCAGCTGGGCACCAGGCTAGAAGCAAGATGGAACTCTACAGAGAGGCCTGGGTAGGGTTTCTCTGCTAAAAATATTTGGCAGGAAAATGGCAGGAAAAAATGGGATCAATCCTCCCCCAGCAGCAGTAAACTCCACTGCCACCCTACAAAACAACAATTCCCAGAACTCCTTGCACTCTATGACACACAGGGCCTGAGCCAACTGTTTCCTGTAGTTGGAAAGTACAGGGAGTGAGGCAGGCAGCAGGCAGGTAGCAAGGAGGTAGGCAGTAGTGTCAGGGCATGAACAACTGGTGCCTCTTATGACTGGGAGGGGCACCACGGCAGTGAGCAGCAAGTGGGGACCACCCACAGCCACCACTGGCTGCATCAGCAGTTGTGCCCTGCATCTTTCTGGCACGCTTCCCCTTAGGCAGCACCCATGACATGTGCCCTGTTTGCCCACTCCACAATATGCTACTGCCCCATGCCATGGGCATTTTAGGACCCATTGAGAGAGTATCAATGTGTTTCTTGGCTTCCTGATTGTGCTGGCGGCTTGACAGAGATGCAGTACAGATTCCAAAGGTCCTCCTCAAGTACCTAAATGGGGCTAAGGCAGAATTTAGCTGCCTAAATCACAGAAAGACTCAAAATGGCTTTATTCCAGCAGCCACAAAATCAATTAGGTGCCTGTATTCAGGAATCTGCACGAGGCCTTTCACACATACTCAGAAGTGAATCAGAGACAAAATGCATATATAATCCATGTTGCAGCCATGGGCCAGAAGACCAGACACCTCTTTCCAACAAGAGTGCCATATTTATTGGATGATAGGTCAAGCTGTTTCTTGCTTTTTCTCAGAAAAATAAGCAACCTGAAGACTGATATCAAATTCTAGAACCCAGGACTCCTCTGTGAGAGACTTGTGTTCACAAGATGAGAGAGAAAAACCTGCTTTTTGCCTGCGCTTCTGCTTCCATACCTCTCCAGTTCTTGCCTTTCCAGTGGTCTAGCTTCAAGAGGAATGTTAGTGAATGTCCAATTAACTCTTTACCAGTGTTCTAGTGTATTAAGTTATGTATTTGCCTGGCCCCGGTGTGAAACACTTCACATTCCCCCACTTGGGACAGTGCACGGGGCACTGGAAGCCCAGGTGGGCTCGGCGAAGCATTGGATCAGGTGCCTCCAAGCCGGGGCAGCACCCAGCCAGCTAGCAGCCCACCTAGGCAGCCCCACACCACACACACCATCTCTGCCACCTTCTCCAACCACCAGCAAACTTAGCTGTACTCCTGTTGCCTCCCCATGCTACCGCAGGGGCAAGCCAACCCATTCCCAGGTGGGTCCAGGCATCCTGCTGGCCACAGAAGCCTGAAGGCAAAAGCAGAGCCTGACTACCTCTCCCATGGCCAGGGGGTGAGCTGCCAGTGGACTAAGCAGGCCCTGAGCTTTGGGGACCCTGGTCCTTCCCTCCATGGCAGCGACACTCCCCAGGGCTGCCCAGGTGGGCTGCTAGCAGGTTTCATACTGCTCCAGCTCATGTGCAAGTGCCCTTACAGGCCCATGGTCCTTCTCAAATAAAGCTAGATCTACAGAGAAGGAACAGAGACAGGAAAGGGAAATTGGCAAAGAAGATGATGTTGAAACAGAATGCATGACAGTAGAGGAGACTCCACAAGAAGGAAGAGCCAGGAAGGGAGAGAGTGAAATTTCAGTAGTTGAAGTGGCACAGCTGACAACAGAGGAGAAAAGAAAGGAACAAGTGACTTTGAGACACAGAAGAGAGAAGGGAAACAGGAGAGAATGATACAGGAAGAAGAAGTAGTGAGGATAGAGTAGGAGAAAGAAGAGAACCAAACTGGGAAAAGAAAGAAATCGAATGCTATGAAGCTTAGGAAAAAGAAGACGGACAAAGAGAAGGGGGAGGAGGAAGGGGTGGGTTGACAAAAAGCTCATCGGAGCTAATGCGGTCTTGGTCTAATGGAGAGGGGAAAGGAGAGAAGGGGAAGTGGAAAGGTGCAGGAGAGGGGAAAGAGGAACCTTTCTTAACTGTTAAAGCAATAAAACAACTGACAGACTATGGGGATGCAAAGAGGTAGAGGATTAGAGTCAACAGCATCAAGCAGCAACACAGAAGACTCAAAGTGGTAGAGATGTGAAATTTAAATGGACAAGCATGATTTTGTCTGTGGCATCTATAAATATGTCAGAGGTGTGTTATCAAGGAAGAGGTGGGATAAGATTATGTCAATATTGAGTGGGGTAAAAGCAGACATAATGGGCACCTATATATATGCAATGAGACTGCTCCGATGTGCTGTAACTACAGCGCCTAGGCGCAGACTTGATTAATCGAGTCTGCTGGAGCTTGGTAATTACCATGCTCCAGCAGACTCCAGCATCATGTGCATCAGTGTCCCCACACTGAAAATGGCAGGAGGGGCACTTCAACTAAAGCTCATTCAATGAGCTTTAATTAAAGCACCTCTGCCACCATTTTTCAGTGCAGGGACACTGAAACATGTGATGCTCCAGGTGCTTTAATTAGAGTGGCTCTTGAAGCCACTCTAATTAAAGCGTGCCCCCACATACACTCCTGGAACACATGTATAAATGCCCAATATGTTTGCAGGAGTGTAGAATCCCATGGGAGAGGGATTACAAGCATGTTGGTAGGAGATGGGAATGGGGACCATTGTGGTGGGTGGGGTCAGATGCAAAGGAAGTGGCTGGAGTTGTGATTTTGCTCAAGGGTGAGGAAGTGGAAATGCAGAAAGTGCAAGTGAGTGTGGAAGGGAGACTGCAATAGATAGTGGTGGTTTGGAAAGAAAGTGTTAGAGATTTTTCATATATGTTTGCTAGCTGAAAGAGAAGGAAGGATCACCATGTTTAAGAAATTAGAGGTGTATGTAGGTGGAGGTAGGCAGCAAATTCTGGTGGGGGATTTCAACTGCATCACTGAGCAGAAGGATAGGAGAGGGAATGGAGGGGAGGGAGAGGTAGACAGCTTGTCAAAAATACTGATTAATGTAATAAATGAAGGAGTTTTAAAGGATGTATGAACCAGTGAGAAAGTGATTACCAGAGATCTGGGCTTTCTGTTTCCGATGAAAAAACAACATAAAACACAGATTTCCCTCCTTTCTGGAGTAAAGCACAGATTTCTCATTTTAGCAGAGAAACCTGTGAATTTTGCAGTTTTACAGCAAGCACTCTGCAGGCTGGCAGAGTTTCAGCTTGCACGGGCTGGGAGGGAGTGGGAGGAGGGCGGTCAGGCAGGGGGCACCATGTGCATGTATGTGTAAGTACCTTCTGTCTTAAAATCAAGATCAATGGATGGTTTGAACTTCATGTATTATGGCACCATAGCACCTTTTGCATCTGTAATATGACATTTATCACCAGGTGTGACTTTCATTATTCTATACCATAAACCCTACAGATAATTGTGACCAGAGATTTTGCCATTATAGATTCAATAAGTCCAATATACTTTGGCATGAATCTGCAAGTCAGAGATATGGCTGTCCATGCCAATATAGGTAAGATATTAATTGATAATTTGGTCAATGCCAACCAAATATTTTGGAAGTTATTCATAATAACCAGAAAATCATTAAGGTCATAGATCAAGTGGCAACCATTGGATTTCACCAATGGTGGGAGACATTGTGAGGGTGGTTGCCCACAGCTACTGGAATATTCCAAGTCATATTGCATCCAGTAGTGATCATCTTGATCGCTCAGGCATGTTTAAGTGTTGGTATGAGGCACATGAAGAAACAGATGAACAAAATAATTTTTAAGAAAAGGATTAAGTTTGAGTGTAGAACCCTGAATGAATAGAGGGCTTCCTGGAAGAGAGCTTGTGTGTGGGGATGTGTGCTTGAGGTCTGAGAGAACTGGAGATAACCTGAGATCTTGGTGTGTCTGTCTAGCTGCTTAGGAATAGTCTGATGTTTGAGAGAGAGTTGAGTGAAAAGAGCTTCAGGTGTGCTGGGGTGTGTGTCTGAGTGCCTGAACTTGTGCATATGCCT